ACATGTTATCCAAAAGGCTTCTGACCTGTTTAAATAAGGAGATACCTGTGAGCATGCAGTCTGCAGTTCACATGGGAAAAAAGGAGGCGTTTTCTATTCAGTCATGTGAACATCATCTCTTCTTGCATCACAACTGGACTCCACTCACTGTTTATAGTTTTTACACAGCTATCTGCAATGGTGAACGCTCTGTAAATGCTAAAGATCAGTATTTCTCAGCTGCAGGGCTGTGAATAGATGTTTTGAAGTCAATTAAGTGCTTCTGATGGCTTTTGCTGTAGCTCATGGAGTTGTTTTGAAACAATGGGTTTAACTCAGTGTGCTGGAAAACCAGTTAGAATAGTGAATCTTTTAGAATGTAATTTTAATAATGCTTTTTCTGTACAATCTGTGATCTATTTTTACTTCTTTTTAGTAGGTAATATGCTTTATTATCTAACAGAAAGAATTAATTTTTTCTCAGTGATATTTACATGTGTAATCTATTAACAGATCAATTTAGGATCATGTAATCACTTGGACTTGAAAAGAATTGATGAGGAGATACTAAAGACATTTGAAAAGTTCAGAAAAATTCAACAAGAACTTTAATGGGTAAAGTCAGTCTCAGACTGCTTCATATTTATAGAGATTAATTATCAGTTTGGAATTTGTAATATTGCCTGAATTTCAGATGGGTGAGGATGAGCACCATACTGAGGGAGCCTAGACAAAAGGACATTCCTTGCGTCACAGAAACTTATTAAATGCAATGCTAATTCAACAGAGATTCCTGCAAGCAGGTGGACGATCTGAATAAATTTTTAAACTCTCCCACTCTCCCACACTCCTGGGACTCTAATAATTCCTATTGACAGGCACAGCACATTGTTCATTTCATTCACAAGCTTTAAAATTCCAATACATTTCAACACGTGAATCTATTAGATTTTTACAAGTGTGAGTAACATCAGGGCATCCCACACCTAAGAATGATAATTTTTCTCCCTGGGATTTCAAACCAGTCATCTAGCCAGAAGCGTGGTGTTTTTATGAATGAAATTAATTTTACAAGCTTCCCATGCAGTTTTTTATATTTCTGTACATTTTACAGCCTGTTACCAGGAAGGATTTTCTTTTAGTGTCATGGTAATTGGAGGGGGCTGGGTGAGAGTTTTTGTGCCTTAGCAGAAAGCATGAATAGGTTTTTATTTAACTATACCAAAGGACTAAGAGTGAGGTAGGAAAATTTTTCACCCCTTGAACACAGATGAAAATCTACTGTCTTTACTAAACAGATGAAGGCCAGTGTGACAGAAATCACTACTACAGATTTATTAGTTAATCCCAGTCTCTAAAGACAGACCAGTAAGTCTTTGAACTTGGAAATGGTTAGGTTTTGGCTTTACTTTGGGGGGGGGTGTTTGAACAATGCTGCAAGTTGGCTGCATTTGTTTACCAGTTTCCTGAATATTAGTATTCTGTACCATTAGGTATGATCCACAGTGCTGTTTATGCACATTTAGCTGTGGCCTGTAAGGTTCTATTATATGACCCGAATATATCTGGGTTTTAATTTATTTTTCTTCAGTGTGTGATAAATTAATTCACAGTGATAAATTAACGTCCTAGTTAATCATCAGAGAGGATTATTGTAGGAAGATACCAACAACCCTGGCAGGACAAACAGAGATCCTTCCAAAGACATGGTAGTGTCCCATTCATGCTGCTAGCCTGAGTATTTCATATCTTTTGCTTACATATTCAGTATTGCAGTTGGAAAATAGCAGTGTTCATCATCAGACTACTAAAAAATCTGACCAGAAATAAACATTAGAATTTTAGAAAACCAGGTTTTGAAGTAGATCTTTTTATCATCCTTGGTTTTCTCAGACATTTTGCTGACATAGGAGATGAAACTTCCAATATTTTACTAAAATTCCAGTGAGATTGGCTGTGGAAATTTAAGCATAGGGTTCTGTGTTCATGGTTAGGTTCCAGTCAAGCAGCACAGTCGGTTTTGTACTTAAACTACATTCTGTACTCTTGTGGGTTGTCTTCATTTTTATCTGTGATACTTTTGGAAGCTGAAATACTCTTAGAATATCAGAAATGGATCATTCCCCAGAAAACCAGCAGTATTTTTAGGAAATCCTTAGTCTGCTAAAATATGATAGTTAAAAATTCCGAATCTGCAGAGGGGTGAACACCAGCTCTGGGTGGGTAGTGACAGGCCAAAATTAAAAGTATAAAACTGATGCTTTTCATGTCACAGCTGTAAATTGTTCAGCAAGGGGCAGGAACTGTAGAGGTAGAACTGGAAAAATGTAGCCTGTTTTCTAACCCTAATATAATTTCTAATGTCTAATATTTTGTAAGGGAATGGTGCTTTTTCATTCCAGTTACAACTGCTTTCCTAAAGTAAGCATGATAACTGGGCTTGGATTTGGAAGGGAGGAGGAGAAGAGTGATCTATGCCTTCAATATTTCTTAAAATAGGCTTAGAAAAAAAGATTTGTTAGAGAGAGGTCTGTGAGAGATCTTTTACAAATCCAGTATTTTCTTATTCAAGGTTTATGTAACTGAATTCAAAAGCTACCTGAGTACCTGATGTTTCAACTTCAAATTCCATTGAAGGAAAACGCTGTTATAACTGAAACCTAACAGGTCTTGTGGAGAATATGAAGCTATTTAGTCACTTAGTGCATGTCGTATGGTGGTTTTGGATGCATTACATGCTGATCTTAAACATTGCTCTCTCATTTAATAACTATTCAAGAGTTCTGAGTGTATTACTAGTGTGTGTAGCTGTTAGTTGACCATTTAAAGAAAATTGTTTTTCTCAGCAAAACATTCCTTTTTGCTAGACTTCAGGAGACAGTTTTCTTCACACACAAGTAGCAGTCAGTGGCAGTTTCAATGATTCCATTTTCAAATAATCAATTTTTAGGTATGTAAAGAAATACATAAAGAGATACTGTGCCAGGTAGCATAGCCTTGGTGTCAGTTGGCTTCTTGGGACATCTTGCCTTCTGTGATTTTGAGTTCTCCTTTCAGTTCAGCTCTTTCATCAAAGCAGGCTTCGTGACTCTTAAAATGAGGGTATGTATGGTTTTTATGGTTTATAGACAGGTATAGAGCTTGGTGTTTCCCCAAGACAGAAATTCTATTAGCTACCTAGTGTACCTCTTTGTGGAGTTTGTAAGTGACGGAGGAGCCTAGCTCCTGCATGTTAGGTTTATTTGCTCTGTTTTGTAAAACAGAGTTTAAAGTCACAAGTCCCTGTGCAGTAGTTTCTGCTGAGAGAAGCTGATCCTGTTGCCACTTTCTGTATTGAAAGGGTGTAGAACTAGGAAGCAGCCACAGCTACAGCTGGTCTCTTCAGTGAATCCAGAAACTGTTGGCATTAGAGTCAGAGGAGGTAGGGAATGTAGTTGAGAAAATTGAGGATGCAGAAATGCATGTTAGATACATTGCATACATGATAATAGCGTTGTTAATAATTATTGAATTTTTAAATCTCATTATTGGCCTCTCCCTTGGCTGACACTCGTGATTGCTTCTGTGTTTGTGATGCCAAATACTTAGGTTTTCTGAGTAAGAGAGTTAGAACTCTTGAGAGTCCCCTAATAAATTATTTTGTGCCAATGTACTGGATTATGATGTTTCTATTAATTTTTTCTTTTTCAATCACCTGTGTAAATGTAAATTTAGTCAACTTGCTTAAGAGGTATTATGTTCTTTTACTCTGCTACGTAGAATATCAATTACTTGATTATGAACTGAATTAACTTCAAACTCTCATTGTTTTATTATGTTATAGTTTAGCGCTGGCATGCAATTAAGGAATTCTGCTACATCCAAACCGCCTGTACTGCCTTATCTCTAATGGGCTCTCTTGTTTGGAAAAACAATTCTGTTTTGTTATGCGCTAGCATTATTCATTCAGTTTATCTTTACCAGCCTCCTGCGCTCACTCATGTAATAGTTTGTAAGTTTACCCAGGTTTCAGAGATGTTGTAAGACTTTTGCACTTCAGTCCCTTTGGTCCATCAGATCTGGCCTCTAGCTTTTTGCTCTATACTCAGATAGTATAGAGCAAGATTCAAGCTGAAAAAGCAACAGCATCAGCCGTGTTTTCTGAATTTCTCAAGGTATTTTTGTGAACATTTGAACACACACAGGTGTAGAGGTCAACAATTTTTAGCCCCAAACAAGGATGTACCTTTTAAGCTTTAAGTAATTCATTGAAAGATACTTATCACCAGGTAGATGTTGCCTTCATCTTAACTATGCTTTCTTCATGGGTAGAGATATTTAGAAGGCAACAGTTAAAATTGTTCCCATCATATATTAATGGATTGTTTTTCCTTGAAAGCATAAAACCAACCACCACCAATACTGAACTGACACTGACCACACTGAGCTGTAAAGTGAGGTTTATTCAGCCCATCTTTATTTTTTCCCTATCTTGGTTTCAACCATCATTTTGTATTTTAACTTTGTGAAGCGTTCGGAGAAGGAATTTCTATGAATGATTCTAGGAAAAAAACCCAACACTCAACCACCAGCCAGCTCAGTTTAAAGTAATTTAATTTCAACAGTGTGGATTCAAAGCAGGAAATAAAGATACATTAGAAAGAAGGAAGCTCACCACTCAGGGTTCAGTTGTAAGTATGCTTTCCTTTAAAGTCATCATACATATATGGGTTCATGTCAGGACAGCAAGGTGGAAACAGCAAGGTATTAACATACACCTTTTAAAATTTCCAACAGGTGCTTTTCCAGCATCAGCACTGTATGCACGGAAAGACTTGCTGCAGAGACCTACACATGTTGCTACCAAAACTTTCCAAGCTCTGCGAATATTTGTAAATAATGAACTCCATGAACTCCTTATAGGCCTGAAGACAGCTGAGAAGTTTCTGAAACCGGGAGGTCGCCTCGTAGCCCTCTCCTTTCATTCACTAGAAGATCGTATTATCAAACGTTTTCTTCATGGAATAGACATGACAGAGAAGTACAATCTTGGTGCAAAACAGAAGATAAGACAGGCTCTGAAAAATTGCTCCAAAGAAGGTGATACAGAAGAAATATCCCCTGGAAAATCCAATTCAAAGTGGATTTTTATACAGAAAAAAGTTCTGACACCCCAGGCCAAGGATATTCAAACAAACCCAAGAGGAAGGTCGGCCAAGCTGAGAGCTGCTGTTAAACTCTAAAACAAAACAGATAATTGTATAATTGTATCATTTCCTTAAATTTTGTTTTCCAGAAGGCTAACTGGAATAGATAGTATCAAACTGAAAAAAATAAATTTAATGCTGTTAGGAAAGATTTCTTTTCTCACCTTTGTGTTTCTTTCTAATTAGGATGTAGTGTTGAGCATCAGAAGGTAAAATAAATGCAGATAGGTGAGTGTCACTAATTATACAAAAAAGATATTTTTTAAAAAGAGCATCAAAAGCAAAGTTTATAGAAATTACAGTTTGATGTATTTACAGTATTTCCTTTAGATTAAATTCAAAACCCTGACATTAACAGTCTCAACTCAGTAGCTGATTGAGAGACAGACCCATTTTTCTTGGGGTTTCACACACCTCAGTTACATGGCTGGTTTAGTCTAGAGTAAGTTTAAACTAACCTAAGAATTCATGATACATAAGTCTTTGTCTCTCAGCTGACTTGTTGCAGGGATGCCTGTGGGGCAAGAGCTAGTTCTTAAATAAATAAATTGATATTGGTATGTAATGTTCTATCCAGGAGTTCGTAAATTGGCTTTTTTTTTAAATAAATATTTACTTCTTGAAGTGATCACCTGGTTATATAATGATTATGGATTCTAAATAATAAATGTATCTTGGGGTAAAAAGACACTTAGAATATCAGTGTTTGCACTTGGATGCTATTAGCAAGCAGTCAGATTTGCACTTGACCATTTGAATTTCTTCCTGTGACCCTAACTTCTGGGCATAGATCCAGTACAACCTTTAGATGTGAATGGAATTCTAATTAACCCATCAAGAAAAGGGTGATGAGGGTCTTATGAAGTGTTTTCGTTTGCTGGAGATCATTTACGAAGAGGTGCTATTTAGGTAAGTATTGAATTATTTTATAAAAGGCCCATTGTAACCCCATTTTCCTATTTGGATGCTATAGGTAGTGGAACATGTAACAGTTTATTTTTTTAGTAAGTCGATATGAATTGGACATTCTAATAAAAGACCATTGTTTTGCTGTCTTTGCATGTTAAAAAGGATTGGAAAATAGTGTAAGTTTCAATTTCTTTGACCTCTGATTCATCTGTTCAGGAATAAAAGTCTTAATACTGTTTAATTCCTTGGTAAAGCTATGTCATGTAATGTGTTCTGAGGTATACATGATAATATCTGTCACTAATCTGAAGTAACATTTGGGTGGTGATAAGCATTTCATTATTTTCTGAAATTTCAATATTTTTCAACTATTTTTCATTCTAAATGCTATTAAATATTAAATAATACATTCCACTTCAAATAATATTACTTACTGTTTACATCTTAGAGACAAGAGACTGTACCTTAAATAGACGTTTTTTCATGCAAACATTAAATAGTTAGTGTTATTTTTAGCTAAAATTCAATACTGAAACATACTCCAGTTGTGAGCTGAAAAAATTGTACCTCCAACATGGGCTTGGAAAAGTTGTAGTGCCATGCTGTGCATTCTTCAGGAGCACACTTCAGGAAAAGACCATCCAATTACAACAGAAATATCAGCATCCCATAGATGATATGAAAGCATTACAATTCCTTATGCTTAAAACAGTGATTGAAATCCATCCATTCTCACATCTGATTTCAAAGGTGGTTTCTTATGTTTGTTGAACCTGGCGTAGATCAGGTTTCGTAAGTACACTCACTTGGCTAGGGACAGTAAGAGATTTTTCTTTATCTCTGGGTTGGAGTTGTGCTGCCATGGCACTGCTTCAGTCATTGAGCTCTTCTTTAAAGGATCTGTTTTTCTCAGGGTCATCTTGCTTTCAGCTTTAAACCTAAGGTATGGAGGCTCCTGGAGTTGTAACCTCTGCTTACCTGAATAAAGAATTTTCTGGATTTCCCAGGAAAAAAAAAAAATGTTTAAAAAAAGATCTGTCAAAGTATTCTTGTATCTTTAAATATTTAATTTAGTAAGTGAAGTTATGTGAAGGGTATTAGGTCTTTATATTCTTACCAGAACACATGCATACATAGCATAGTTTAAACTCTCCTAGCGTAGTATATGTGACATGGTAGCAAATCTAAACTTTTTTTTCTTTTTTACCACCATCAAAAATGGTATTTATGAAGGAGATGGTATCTGGTGGAGCATTAGTCTCACTGAAAACCAAGTCATGCTGTCAAGGTACAAATTGTGTATCGTTCCTGAAATTTGCAATTCTACCTGAGCAATCTACATTTTCATACAGCTGAATGCAAGATTATCTATCAACAAGAAAAAAGATTGTAGACCGTGTTTATGAGGAATATAGAAACATCTAATGAGTAAAAGCATACAATATGTGAATATTCATGGAGAATATCAAGTAGTAGTTGTGGAGAGACGATGGCGTTGCCAAACAATACGTGCATGCACAGCATATTGCTGAAGCGTGTGTATTTTCATGTTAGTACTTCAAAGGGTGTGGGGAAACTTTAAAAAGGATTAAAACCCAGCTATGAGACTACTCATATGCATTGTCAACATACTGTCCATTAACCTTATTAGAAAACATGATTTAATTAGTTAATCCAGCGGAACATAAAGAGTTGATATGCCGTCGAAAGTGCCTACGTGATGTAGGGATTTGCACAGAGTAATTGTTTGAAAACTAGATGCAGTTATCTGTGAATAAGGTTTTTATAGGAAAGACATAGTACTTTATAAAAATATCCTTTTAAAGTGTAAGCACAATCAGCTGCATTTATAGCCCATGAGGGCTTACCAAAAACTACCATTTCCCTATTTCTTCCTAAAGAGAAAGGATGTTTTGTTGTTTCAGAATGCAAAGGCTTGTTTCCAAATAATACAAGGGTTTAATATATTTTCAGGTTCTTTTATTTATTATTTTTTAAACTATTACAGGTGATTAATTTCTCAGTAGTCTTTTACAGTCACATCTGCTGAGATTGCCACTTGACTTGGAAAAATCCCAGTCTGAAACATCAACTTTTGTACAGATATATTGGTATTTGATGGGTAGAAGGTAGAAGGAGAGAGATTCCTAATGTAGTGTGAATGGGGCAAATACTTCGGTAAACACTGTTGGCAAGTGAGTCTTCTAGTAGCAAGTATTGGATCAGGCTTTTTGCATGCTGCTTCCCAGGGTTGCATTCCTATGATTATTAATGATTCATATAATTGCTTTAATATTACTCCTTGTATTGGAGAAGACATGGTATTAATTGGAGAGTTTATACTCCTAAATAGTGTAACAGCACAACGAGGGAGAACATGAGGAACTGTGCCCTGAGGAAAGGTGACTTGCAGTGGTGGGATGGTTGCAATAAGCAGTCTTAGATGCAGATTGCTGGGGATTTTATTTGATTATTTAAATTTTGAATAACTTAGATATCGGACTATCACTGTGCAAAAGTACAGGTGAAAAATGAGACGAGTTTGAGCAAACAGAGAAGTAACAAACTCATAAGCCAATTTGTTGCTGCCCATCTTACTTAACATTTTTACCTCTAGCAAGAGTAATGAACAGGTTCAGGCCTGCTTTACGTATGCCCCAAAATCTCTCCAGGAAGGGCCCTTTAGTAGGATTAGAACCATTTACACCTGGATTGCAAACACTGTTTGGTGATCTCTATTTCCATACATTTATGTTTTTCTATGGCGGTTGCTTAAAACTAATCTGTAACTTAGAATAATATGCAATTGTATTTTTAAGTCATTCTGAAGTATACCCAAATGTGGAGGTCTTTTTACACCTAAGGTATACTGAAATTAAAGCTGGATTAATTAAGACTGCAGTGCAACAGTGAATCTGGCAACTAATTTAAATTAATGTAGAACAACTTCTTCCCTCCCCCTTCTCCCAGCCCCTGTAGAAGAGAAAACCATGTTTAATTAAAAAGAAAAAAGCAGTAAAGTTTGAATGCCTTAGAAAAAAAAAGTAATTATGAAGTTGCCATCCAATTTTAACACATCTTCATATATGCAGTATTCTGTGACTTTTCTGTTCATTGCCTGATTTTACCTGTTTGGGGCTAAGGAGCAGCAGTACGATAGTTCAGTCTCCGTCCATGGATGCAGAGCAGGGTTTCTAGTGGGAAGGTATACACAGTTCTAAATCCAGCTCTGTATATTTTTCCCTCTGTCCCCTTTGCAGTTAGGATTGTGTTTATCTTTCTGAATCCTCTGTAAGCTTATCCCAGGGTGAATGAGAGGGAAGGGCTTTCCTTTTTCAGAAAGCTGTAATATGTGTCCATCCAACTTTATTAAAATTAAAGCTGTTGCATACTTGTCGTCTTCATATATATCTTACTGATGAAATGCCATGGTTTTCAATACTGCTGTCACATCACTAAGACAGGAAAAGAAGCAAATATTTGTTAATGGGAAATCTGAGCTAGAAAAACAGAGCAGGCAGGCAGTTGCCTGAATGTCTTGCTGACATAGCTGTGTTTATAAAAACCAAAACTTTTTCATTGTACCTTGATCTTTAGGCAACTTACACTTTTCCTGATGCTTTTAAAACCTAATTCGATTGGTTGTAACACTGAAAAACAAGCTGAAGTTTTCTGAAATGTGTGTTTTCAAATGTAAACGTGACAGCTGGTTTATAGCTGTCTCTTTAAAGAGTAAAACTAGAGATACAGCTCCCTCTATCTGTCCTGGGAATACTTCTGCTTCGTTCTGCTTGGAGTGCACCTGCGGATGATTATAGTAACAGCATGTTCATTGTCAACATGAAGATATAAGATAAAAACATGTGTGTAACAACTTTTATAGGTCAGTAGTTTTTTTAATTATGCTATCTGGAATTCTAGAGGGATAAAGAGTGAGTCACCTTCTTATCTGAAAACCCTTCAATCAAGATAGCTAATTCAAAAGACAACCCCAGGCTTGCACAGTACGTTTCTCACACGTGTAATTTATTATTAGAATACAGTATATATCTATAAAAGTTCTTTAGTGCTCATGGAATTTTGACAGGCATAACATTGGCAAATGTACTTCATGTTTTATTGACATT